TCACAAGCACCCCACCATCACCATCACCACCACCACCATCACCATCAGTACCACCATCACTATCACCATCATTAACACCACCATCAACACCACCATCATTACCATTCCAACACATCACAACCTCCACCATCACCACCATCATCACTACCGCCATCACTATCACCACTATCATTACCACTACCACCATCGCCATCACCACCACCCATTGCAACCACCACCACCACCACCACCATCATCACCACTACCACCACCATCACAATCACCATCACTACCATCACTATCACCACCACTATTAACATCACGACAACAGCCACCACCACCATCACAACTACCATTACTACCATCATCACTATCACCACTATCATTACCACCATCGCAACCACCACCACCATCACCACCACAACCACCATCACCATCACCATCACCAGGACAGCTGTTGTTCTTACCCACCCTCAGGACTGATCCAGCCAGCAAGGCCTGCCCTCCCTCTCTTCCCCTGGGAGAAAGGAAAGCTGCTCTGGCAAAAGGTGGCCTCATTGCTGGACTTCTTGCCCAGACTTCTAATCCACTGATCAGAGGACCTTAGGAGTACCCTATGGAAATTCTAGATCCACGGTGGACCCCCATACTAGGGGAGGTCAGGCTGACATCCTGAGGTGCCCAGCCTGTGTTCTGGCTCTCTAGATGCCCCTCTGAGCTTCCAGAGACCCCGAGAAAAGGGAGCCAGCCTGTCTTACATGTTCCCACATCCTTGTTTTCTGGGGAGGCTTCTCAAGAGTAGAGGGCTGGAGAAGGGCTTTCCCCACTCCTGAATGCCAGCAGGTCCCCCAGAACAAGACATGTAGCCAATCCCCCACCATCTGGGGAGTGAGTGGGGGCAGGAAGGCAGGGGGAACCTGATCTTTTTCTTCAGCCTGGGAATCTCCATGTGCTGCTCTCTGACAGCAGATGGTTCTTCCTAACTACGTCTGACAGGCTGATGTTAGAATGAGTTGGCCTTCCTAGGAATCGATGGGGTGAAGAGAGCAAGGGCCTGCTCAGGGCACCAGGGGAACCTTTCCATAGATTGAACCAGAGCCTTCACAGTTCATCTTTTTGTGTGTACTGTATTTGAATTATTCTTAGCTTTATTCTAGTATCTTAGCTTTTTGAGGACAAAACTCAAGGACATTTTTTCTCTGGGAAACTCTTCATGGCAACTATCAGCTGACTTGTCATTATGTATGCATGAATGGATGGATCACTTTTGAGCTGGTCCCCCGCTTTGCTGCCTCCTAGCATCTCTCCATCCACCCCTCCATCCTCGAGTGAGCACCACGTTTCAGACCTCATGCTGATCAGCAAAGGCAAAGTCAGAGAAGACAGTCCCTCCCTCAAGAAACTCACTCATAGTAAACATCACACCTCAGATCACGTGGTGGGCGCCATCAGAGGATGGTACAGGTGTGTGGAGGGAGCAAGAGGAGAGGGACCCAGTCTGACTGAGAAGGGTACAGTCAGGGAAAGCTTCCTGAAGCAGGAGATGTCTGAGCAGAGTTCTGCTGTAGGGCTCTGAGCCAGCAGGTATAATGAGTAGGGATTTGGAAGGATATTAGAGGTATCCCAGGCCACAGGATCTGCCTGAGTCAAGGTGCAGAGGCACCAAAGAACAGATAAGCCTGGGCCACTAGGAGACGAGCAAGCTGAACACGGGGTGTGAGAGGGTAGAGGCGTCTTCGTGATGATGAGACAGCTCATGCTGATGGCAGCAACATCCTCAGTGGAGGCTCGTGTTTGTTCAGTCTCTCAATCAAAGAAGCAACATGGTAGGGGCGGGCAGGAGGTGGCGGTCTTTCAAGCCTAGGCTGAATCCTGGCCCAGTCCCTTGGTGGCTGTATGATGTGGACAAGGCACTTAATCTCTCTGAGCCGTGGCCTCCTCTTCTGGAAACACAGGGATAAGGGTCCCTCCCTTGGAGAGTTACTTGGAGAATTCACAAAAGCCCCCAGTACGGTGCCTACGACTTAGGAGGGGCTCCAGCTCCATCGAGGCCAGTTAGTCATTCCTTCCTTTATTCATTCTGGTTCTCCCTGCTGCTTGTGTCAGTCTCTACAGTCAGCTTATCATGTTAATCAGGACATAGGTTTGGCTGCTGTGGCAAAGGCCAAGGTAACCCTGGCTCCAACAAGACAGCAGGTTATTAATCTCTCACACAGCAGTTTAAGCATGGGCGATGGGGTGCATATGGTAGCTATACATGGCTGGGCACCCCGGCTCCTTCTCTGATCTTTTTAACACCCAGCTTCCTGCTGCTCTGCCGCCTTAACACCCAGCTTCCATCTCAGGGCCTAAGATGGCTGCCCCAGCTCCTGCCACTGCCTTTGCATCCTAGCCAGTGGGAAGGAGAGATGGGAAGTAGACAGCTTACTCTTCCCATTAAAGGCCTGACCTGGCATTTGTACAAGTCAACCCCTCTGAGTGTTCCAGGTCACATGCCATTGGCCAGAACTTGGTGACATGGCTACATCTGGGTGCAAGGGAGGCTGGGAAATGTATCTCTAACTGAGCAATGCTCAACTGAGGAGACTTTTTTTTTGAGATGGAGTCTCACTCTGTCGCCCAGGTTGAAGTGCAGTGGTGCAATCTCGGTTCACTGCAACCTCCGCCTCCCGGGTTCAAGCGATTTTCCTGCCTCAGCCTCCCAAGTAGCTGGGACTACAGACATGCACCACCACACCCAGCTAATTTTGGTATTTTTAGTAGAGATGGGGTTTCACCATGTTGGCTAGGCTGGTCTTGAACTCCTGGGCTCAAGTGATCAACCCGTCTCAGCCTCCCAAAGTGCTGGGATTACAGGCGTCAGTCATTGTGTCCAGCCTGAGACGTTTTTGGTCACAACTGGGAGAGTGGTTGGTGGTAGGTAGAGTCCAGGAATGTTGCTAAACATTCTACAATGCACAGGGCAGCCCCTCGCAAGAAAGAAACATCCAGCCCGTTACGTTAAGTGTGCTGAGGCTGAGAAACCCTAGTCTAACTAGGCAGCCAGAACTTCTATTATAAAATGGAGGAAAGAAATAGTACAGGGAATAACCAGCAATTTCTGCCATAGTTACATACACTAATGGTTACATGATTGAAGAGGATTAAAATGATATGTTTTCCCAGGGGTATCTCTCTC